TAAGACTTGTGCACTTCAACTCCCAGAATTCCTCAGCCAGCTTTGCTGGCTGAGGAATTCTGGGAGTTGAAGTGCACAAGTCTTCAAGTGGCCAAGGTTGGCCACCCCTGATCTATAGCATAGGAACTCTAGCTCAAGCGGTGGGTTGGGCTAGAAGACCTCTAAGGCCCCTTCCAGCTCGGTATTCTGCATTTTATGCTGCGTACCTTGGGAGGGGAGCTGGGGGGGGGGGAAACATTGAAAAAGGGGAGGGAAATTTAAATTTGATGTTGGAATGAGCAAGGACCAGCATTATTAAACATTCAGAGGACTTGAAATATTAAGAGCAATCTATTCGGAGGAGGAAATAGAGGGTTTGTTTTTCTTAAATCAAAATCTTTGACATTTCAAAAGATTTCCTCGAAGGTGCTTTCTGACAGGCGTTTGGGAAAACTCGGTGTGAAAGACAGTGGAGGCATTTAAAAACGACACTGGGTTGAATTGTTCCCCGAAGCAAAGAGGTTTTTTGGGGGGGAGGCGGTCATCCTGTTGAGTCACCCAACGTGTAAAAACGTAACCTGGTTTAGTTGCAGTTTGGGGCGCTCTAGCTGTGTACGGTGCGTGAACCCTGAAACTCTGGCATAGGGGATAAATCGTGGTTAAAAGGAAATTTAAACATTTGGTCTAGTACTTAAGGCACCAGATCAGAAAGCAGGCGAGGGAGAGTTCTAGTCCCACCTTAGTCTTGAAAGCCAGCCGGGGAACTTTGGGCCAATCGCCGGGAGGCTGCGAGTTCTAGTCCCGCTTTAGCCATGAAAGTTGGTTGGGTAACCTTGGGCCGGTCACTTCCTCAGCCCAACCTCACAGGATTGTTGTTGTGAGGAATATAGGAGGAGGAAGGGTTGTTGGATATGTTTGTCACCTTGAGTTATTCAGAAAACTAATAAAGGCAGGATACAAATGGAGGGAAATGAGGGGAAGGAAGGAAAGGAAAGAAGGAAAGGAAGGAAAAGAAGAAAGGGAAGGTAGGTGGAAGGAAGGAAGGAGGATGGGGGGTTGGACTAGATGACCTCCAAGGTCCCTTCCAACTCTGTCCCTCCCCCGGGGAGGCCCCCACTGAGCGCCCAGCCCCTCCACCCCGCCTCTCCCGCACATGGGCCCTGGAGTCCGCCCGGCGGAGGCCGATGGGACCTGGGCCCCCTTCCAGCGGCCAGCCACCGCCTCTGGCCGGGCTCGGCAGCCGCGGCGGTCGGGCAGCAGGGCGCGCTGTGGGCCGGGCTGGCCCTGCTTAGCGGCGGCGGGAGGAGCCGCCGCAGCCGCAGCCGCCGCCGCCGCCGCAGCCAGCAGAGCCCCGGAGCCGCGCCGAGGAGCTGCCCGGCCGCCTCCCGTCCTCCCGGGCTCCGCCAGCGCCCGAGCCCGGCGCCCGCGGCGGCCCAGCCATGTCCGGCCGGGTGGAGAAAGCAGGTGGGTTGGGCGCGCCGGAGCCGAGCCAGGCCTCGCCCGTCGGGGACCCGCCGGAAGGCCGGCCGGGCAGGCGCGGGTGATGGGCACCGGCCGAGGGAAGGGCTGCCTGCCCGCCTGGCACCCGGGACGCGCGTGCAAAGGGCGGGCCGGGGTGCATTGCACGCGCGGGGGGTGCATTGCACGGGGCCCTGGCTCGACGGGGCCGGGGGGGGGGGGGGGGAGGGGAGGGGGCGTGCAAAGGCACGCGCGGGAGGCCCCGGGCCGTGAAAAGGTGCCCGCGATTGGGACTCTGGTGGGTTTCCGGGTGTGCATTGTGGCCGACCTGGAGATCCGTGTCGTTTGGAGTTTGCTTCGGCTGGTGGCTGTGGGCGGGGAGGGTGTGTGTGGAGGGAGATACAGCTCTCTACCTTTACACGCGTACAATAGAGATCTATATCTGTGCACACATGCAGCATATTATCTATATACACAATGTAAATATGTGTGGGTGGGTGCATATACATATATATGTATGTATGTATGTATGTATATGTATGTATACACTATGTGTCTGTGTCTGTCTATATGTAACAGTTATTGCACAAACACACATGTATCATATATACACACAAATATAAACATATATACACATTTGTATGTGTGTGTTTGTGCAATAATTGTTACACATCCAATTGTTTCCTTTCCTCTCTCTGCTCTCTTTCCTAAATAATATTTGGAATTTGAAACAAGATTGCACTCACTGCAACAAAGTAATTCCCACAAGGGAGGCAAATTTTATCTCAAAAGCATTCGAAAAAAATACTATTATTGGGCCTTTGTTGACGACCATTCAAGTACAAATGTTTAATTAAAAAAAACAACACTCCATAAGGTATGTGAAATGTATAGACCTGAGTACCTGTGTGGATATCACTGCATGTATATGGCGAGTATCTATCCTGTATAATTTATGCGCCTAGTATAATGTTTATTAGATATCCCTTCACAAACTTCATTTGCACATATGTGTGAAGCTCACATACGTAGAGGTTCATGTGCACACAATGGAGTCTCTAGTGTAGGAAGCACAAGCATATGTTATGTATGTCAGTGCATTATGTATTGATATATTTTTAATTTCTTTGTCAAATTTTTAAACAGGCCATCATGCTCCTAGACCAATTTTGGGCAGTACAAATTAAAACAAAACTGTCTGTCTATCTATCTATCTATCTATCTATCTATCTATCTATCTATCTATCATTAAATTCCCATAGGAAGCAATGAACTCTGGAATAAAATAGTTAAAATTGAAAATTAAAAAAGTCATAGGAATATAAGTATATCTCGAGTGAAGATGGTGTGTTTCTTTGCATGGAAATTAATCTTATGTAGCTTAGCAATTTCCTGTGCTTTTTTTAAAAAAAAATCTGGTTAATTGTTTTAATTGTTTTAAATTTTGTTTATATGAGGTTTGTTTTTGGGAACTAGCCAGAGGCACGTATGTGAGGTGGGCAGTTAGAAAAATTATGATGATGATTTCAATAGATTGGCTCCCTGATTATTAATTGAAGTTGAATAGAATACAAATTTAAAAGTAAACTTAATGCATCTCTGTCTAGCATGCATCTGTGAATATAATCTCTGTGCGACATACACTTACAGAGAAATTATATTCACACACACATTAATACCCTTTGAAGAATTTTAACGTTCTATTGGTGCCAAGGTGGAAAACATGAAAAACCTAGCTGTTTGTTCAGGCATATGGATCATGAAGTTAGTCAAACCTGCGTGGGAATGCATATATATGATATGATATTCTTTTACTTTTACTTTGGCTGCCGTTTCTTTTTGAAATTATACGTTGTGGTGTATATGCTTCCATGTACTGTATTGTGCTTTTTGTTTCACTTTCGATCAGTGCCTAGACCAAGAGGGTCTTTAAACTTGGCAAGTTTTAGACTTGTGGACTTCAACTCCCAGAATTTCAGAGCTGAGAGAGGAAAGAAAGAAATAAGATTTGCATATGCATTAGTATGATATATGTATGGATATGTACCATGAAAGCCAGCTGGGTGGCTTTGGGCCAGTCACCAGGAGATGGTGAGTGCCGGAAGACGGGGTTGGTCCAGATAACCTCCAAGAGCCCTTCCAACTCTTGTCATTCTGTTAGACATACTTAGCTCCTTCAACTGTTCATCATACAATGTAGCCTGCAGATTCTCTATCATCCTTGTTGCTCTTCTCTGCATACTTTTCTGTAATCTTCTGACATCCGTTGTAGGACCTGCCTATGTCTAGTTAAATGAAAAAAAAAGAGGACTCAGGGTAACATGATAGCAGCCTTCCAGTATTTGAGGGGCTGCCCCAAAGAAGAGGGAGTCAAGCTATTCTCCAAAGCCCCTGAGAGGCAGGACAAGAAACGATGGGTGGAAACTAACTATGGAGAGAAGCAACCTAGAACTAAGGAGAAACGTCCTGACAGTGAAGACAATTCACCTGTGGAACCGCTTGCCTCCAGAAGTTGTGGCTGCTCCAACACTGGAGGATTTTAAGAAGAGACTGGACAGCCCTTTGTCTGAAACAGAATAGGTTGGACTAGAAGACCTCTGAGGTCCCTCCCAGCTCTGTTATTCCTCTGTTGTTCCCTATCCGTGAAAGTGCCCAATGGAAGAGAAGGCAGTCCGTTTTCTTCATAGCCCTGGGGCCTCTCTCTGTTGCCAAGATGAAAATGCTCTCTGGCTGTCATTGAATCAGCAGAAAACGATGCCAACATGACCTACTTATGACTTACTCCTCCCTTACTCCTCTGCCCGTCCAAGCTTTCCTCAGAAAGAAGAGATGGCCCAGCCCAACAAATGTTGCCTGTTTTGAGCTGCACCTTCTGATTCTTGACGAATGTTTCTTTTCTTTTTATGTACACTGAGAGCACGTGCACCAAGGCAAATTCCTTGGGTGTCCAATCACATTTGGTCAATAAAGAATTCCTTCCTTCCTTCCTTCCTTCCTTCCTTCCTTCCTTCCTTCCTTCCTTCCTTCCTTCCTTCCTTCCTTCCTTCTTTATTTATTTCCTTTCTTATTTCCTTCCTTCCATTTTAGCTCTGATGGAGCAGTAGAACCATTTAAACCTCTCTGCGTCACAGGCTGAGGACAAGATAAAGATAAGGTTGGGTGGAGAGAGGGTGACGGGGTAGAGACAGACCTCCGCTTAACGACCACAATCATGCCTCAGATTTCGGAGATATTTGTTCCATGAGTTTCGCCCTGGTTTCCATGAGTTTGCAACCTTTCAGTGGCCATGGTTGTTTAGCAAATCCCCGCAACAGTTAAATTGGGGACACGGAAGTGGCTTCCCGCTTTGAGGCAACCCTATGAGGGACACCGCGACCATCGTAAATACGAACCAATTGCCAAGCGTCCAAATTTGGATGACTCGACCGCGGGAATAATAAATGCTCCCCAAATCTTACAAGGTGGTCTTCTGTCGTGGTTTACCTAAATAATCCCAGTTTTGCCAGACCTTAAATGGCCACTTTTACGGAGAGCAGAGCCCCAGCCCTCTTGTTTGGGGGGTGGGACTCAAATATTGGAAGGCTGCTCTCCTGCCTCCCCTTGTCCTTCTCTTCCCAAGACTAGCCAGGCCCAGTTCCTGCAACTGTTCTTCATATGTTTCAGCCTCCAGTCCCTTCATCATCCTGGTTGTTCTTCTCTGCATTCTTCCCAGAGTCTCAGCCTCTTTTTTGCAGTGTGGCATCCAAAAGGAGCTGCCATAGTCCAAGGATGCAATGCTCAGTTTCCCATGTGGACATGCAAGGACAACCGTGTGGCTCATTCAAAGGGCACCGAGTCAATGAGGGATTATCTATTTTCCGCTCTCCGTCCCAGTCTCTATTTTTTTTTGCAAAATGAGCCATCCTGGCTTATGCTGCCCAGGGAAGCCAGGAACGATTTAGTTCTTCTGTGGCTGAATCCCACAAACGAGGTCAGCCGGTGTAGAAAAATCCCGGGGAGAGAATCTCGAAACACGCGGGCATCCACACCTTCTCCTCTGCGTAGTAAGTTATGGGCCCAAGGAGGTGACACTTTGAGTGCTTCCCAGGGTAGGGGATGGAAAGGCCAGTTTTGAGCTGGGGGAAGTTGTGGAAGAAAACAGCTGGAGCCATGCCGGAATGCAAAACAGCTGAGCAAAGCCTTAAGCAAAAAGCTGAAATTGGAAACAATTTCTAAATTTATTATCTGGGTGTGGACAGTCCTTTGGATTCTAGGTCACAGAGAAGAGGGGTTTAAGCCTCCCTCTTTCTTTCTCTTTCTCTTTTCTCTTTTTCTCTCTCTCCCTCTTCTCTCTCCCTCTCTTTCTTTTTCTCTTTTCTCTCTCTTTCTCTTTTTCTGTTTCTCTTTTTTCTTTCTCTTTATCTCATCCTCCTTCCCTCTCTCTGATTCTCTGTATCTGTCTGTCCGTCTGTCTGTCTCTCCCTCTCCCCGTCTCCTTCTCTCAAAAATAAAGATTGATATATCCCGAGTAGAGAAAGTTTTTGTTATCCTGAAATTGGAATTTTTTTATTTTATTTTTGCTACTGCAATGCTTTTGGGGGTTTTGAGTGTTTTTAAAGGAGGCGCTCTGTTCCTTTCCACCCACAAAGCAGTACATTGATCGGCTGGATGAGTTTGGAGCTCTCGGTTTGAATTGGAAAACGTGAAGCGCTGGAATTTACGTTCTTCCCAGACAGAAATCCAAGCTGTGCTTTCCGATGTCACTCCTTCAGGGATAGAAGAAGGCAAATCTCCCGTTGGCTCCCTTAAATTACGTGTAAAAATAATAAAGGCAGGATACAAATCAAATGACATTAAATTAAATTAAAACACCATCCAATATCTTATGACGACAACAACAACGCCAGAAGTCTGGGCTGAGCCAGACTCCCAAAGACATACCAAGGGAACCAAGATTCAAATGAAAGACTCATTTGTGCGAATGTAGCATTTAGGGGCCTTCTCTGAGAAAATTCACACCTAAAGTC